ACAATGTCCATTAAAACTCGCAGGGAGGATGGAGGATTTCTGGAACAGTTGAACCAAAATCTTCTCACTCTCGATCATCTCCTCCGCCTCTGAAGAGTCGTACTGCTCCAGCAACTGTTTTTTGCTGATCCACTCGGACTCCTCCTCCACTTCCTTTGTGAAGACCAAAGAGCTGGTTATGCTCATGTACGTGTCCTGGAGGGTCGGATCTTTGAGAAATCCCATGAGCAGCTTCGCCTTCGCCACCAATTTGCCCTCCGTGGAGCCCCCCTTGTCCGCCTCATGGCGGCTCAAAAGGGGTTGATCGTGTTGTCGTCGTCGCTCCCAACCCACAATCCCCTACTCATCTGTCCTCCTCCACCTCTCATTCCCTTCTCATCCCTCCTCATCCTCCTCATCCCCTCACCCCCTCATCCTCATCATCCCCCTCATCCTCATCATCCCCCTCATCCTCATCCTCCTCATGCTGCCCCCCCTCGTTCACCTCATCCTCCTCATCCCCATCATCAACGCCACTCTCCTTATCCCCCTCCTCCTGATCGCGTCATCCCCATCCCCGTCATCCGTGCCATACCCTCCACCTATCTTTCTTGCCACGCGCCGCCTCTTTGAATTGCACCTCCGCCTCCTCGCTGTTCTTGCGGGCCGTCTTGAAACGGCCGTACAAGCGCCTCGCAAACGAGATGGGGGGATGACCAACTAGAATGATGTGCTATAGAGACGAGGGGGGCGCTGGCAGAACGCGGGTCCAGCCAGAAGGTTTCTAGGCGAGGCGCCTCGCAAACGATCGGGGGGGACAACCAGCTAGAAGGATGCGCGATAGAGACCAGGGGGGCGGTGACAGAACTCGGGCTCATCCAGAAGCTCTCTAGGCCACAAGGGATTGCGTGCAATGACGGCGACGATGACGACAATGTGACAATGAGATTGCATGACATGACGCATGTGGCCTCCGCTCTTCCTCGGTGAACACTGACTTCAGCGACGCCATGCATCGGGGTTCCCGTGGGCTTTGAACAAGGCAGCCTTCTCGTCCAAGTCCTTGCACTTGAGCGACGCTGCACGCATCCGCTTCCAGTCCCAACTGGGGGGGATGGGAATCAAAATGCGTGGGACGTCGTTTCAGCAGATGTTTTGCTCAGTTTTGTTTTGGGCCTCCAGGACAAATAATGCATCAAAAAACTCGTGAGGGGTGCCCAGTTCGAAACTCCCGACCACTATTGGGATTCCTCGGGTGAGGCCCCAGCTGGCTTCTTGGCGACAGAACGAGCGGCTACCGTCGTCTTTGTAGACGTCTTCATCACCGAACGGACGCCAGGACGCGCACCAGACGCCGCGGGGCGGCCCCCTTTGGCCATCGCAGCAAAATCTCGAAGCGTTCGAACAACGAGGGCGGTCGGCCACCAGGGCTCGTTGGAAGCCTTGAAGCCAGAAAGATGCCTCTGGAACACGTCAGCATATCATCAACAGGATCATCTGGAATCTGGTGTTGTGTTTTCAGACGGCATGCGAAATCTTTATGTTCGTATCGGGGATCCCTTGGAATATGTTTTTTTTTTTTTTTTTCCCACCGAACGTCCTCGAATGTAAAATTCGATGTCTGCGTTGATCCAAAATATTGTTGGTTTCAATAGTTCACATAGTTTCGGCCGGCAACGCTCCAGGTGATCCTCGATATGCGATCTGACGTTGATCTGACGTCAGACCAACGTCAGACGTTACCATCTGACGTCAGACGATTTTCGTCTGACGTCAGACGTTTTCGTCTGACGTCAGACGCTAGCGTCTGACGTCAGACTGACGTCAGACCAACGTCAGATGGTAGCATCTGACGTCAGACTGACGTCAGATCAACGTCAGATTGGGGTTGCGTCGATGCACGTGTGTTTTGCCAACCTTGGACCTGATGTTCTCCCTGAAATCACAGTCAGAATAAAAAAAAAAAAAAAAAAGAAACTGCACGCAGCCAAGGACCCATATTACCTCTGGCCTGGAAAAAAAACTGACGCAACCCCAAATCTATTCATGTGGTTACGGTGAAGCAACCTGACGATGAGAACCAGAAAGCGGAAGTTGAGGAGGAGGAACGGCGGAGGGGGATGATGAGGATGAGGAGGCGGACGATGAGGAGGAGGGAGGACGGATGAGGAGGAGGATGAACGAGAGGAGAACGGAGGAACGATGGACCAAGATGTCCATGTCACGCTCCTGCTCCTGCTCGCGCCCTTGTTCCTGGTTATCCTTCCCCTCCTCCTCCTCCTCCTCATCCTCATCCCCCCTCCTCCGTCTCCTGTGCCTCCTCATCTTCCTCCTCATCCTCCTCCTCCTCCCCCCTCGTTGCATCCACTTATCCTCCACATTCGGAACGACAAGGTAGGCTACCCTGGTGCCGCCTTGATCAAACCCTGTCGGGAGTGGTACGAACCGCACGGGGGTAACTTAATTTGAAGGAGGGGCAGAGAGAGGGCGGAATGCCGAACGGGGTAACTTGATTTTCAGGAGTGGCAGAGAGGGGTAGAACTTAGGTCATAACACCAATGGGATCTCCCCGCTGGGCGAGGATGGGTTTGCAATCCAGTCCACAGGGAACTAGGTTGTCCAACGCAGGGGAGGGAGCGGGTTAAGTCAGAAATGGACGGGCACAGCATCGGAGATTCGCTAAACAACCCGACATTGTTTGAACAGCCGGAGAATGTCTGAACAGTCGGACAAGGCTTGTTTTTGTTTTTCCAACGATCCACGAACCCACGAAGCATCTGGATACCAAAACGTGTTTGTGCAACAGACGAGGCCCAGCTGGGTAGCAAGCCCTGCTACTCCACACCCTCTGCCGTTGCGCAAGCTCGCGCGCAGAATTGCACGCCTGAACCCCACTGGCGCATGTGGCGCGCCGTGATTAAATTGCAGGTCTGGTCGAGAGCGAGCATGCCCCACCATTCTGGAGATCTCTCCCCCTTTCTATCCAACATCCCCTCCCCCATCAAGACCAGAACGCTGCCTAGGCCTCATCCTTCAGCAAGGCGGCTCGAAACTCGACGGCGGCGCTCTTGTCCAAGTCACGCGCGCAAGCACGACGGAGAACCTGGACAATGAGCTCTCCGTGGCGCTTCGACTGAGCCTCGCTGATTTGGATGAAGAGGCGAGGCTTGTTACTGCTGTCCTTGAAACAGAGGTACGAAACCTTCGTTCCGTAAGTCACGGAGAGCACCCCGAGGCTCGGGTGCTCTCCCGTCCGCGGCCGATCACCAGTAGCACCACCGTGAGCGCGAGGACCGCGAACGCCGCGAGCAGCTGCAGGCCGCTTGCGAACGGGGGCGGCCTTGGCCATCTCCTTGGCGTTCTTGATCTGCGCCTGCTCACGGGGGCGGAGGAGGACGATGAAGAAGAGGGAGGATGAGGACAAATACGAGGCGGAGGAGGATACTGAAGAGGCGGAGGAGCGAGGAGGAGGAGGGAGGTATGAGGAGGAGGTTGAGGGGGCAGGACAGCAAAAGAGGGAGGAGGGGGACAGGACGAGGCGGAGGAGGTGGAGGCGGACGAAGATGAACATGAGCTTGCGGATGATGGCGAGTAGGAACGTAATGAGGTGAGGACGAGCAAAATGAGGAGGACGAGTAGGGGGAGAAAGAGGAGGAGGAGTAGGAGGAGGAGGAGGAAGAGGAGCATGGGGATGAACAGAAGAGCCAAACCCTCATCATCGGACCATTTCCTCATCCTCATTATTCCCCCGTCCTCATCCTCTTCCTCCTGATGCTGCTCCTCATCCCCATCCTCCCTCCTCCTCAATCAGCCTAGCATCCTTATCCTTTTTATCCTCACCCCCTCATTGGTTCACGAGCCTTCAAGATCCGCTTGGCCGCTGGCACCGCCTTGGCCTGCTGCGCGAAGTGCAAGATGTTCTCGTCGTCGTCAGTGTCGAAGAGGTCGTCCAGGGGCTTCGCAGCAGGGGTGGTCACCTTCTCGTCCTTGCGCGCCTTCGTGGTCTTCGCAGCAGGGGTGGTCGGGTGCTCAGCCTTGCGCGCCTTCGTGGTCTTCGCAGCAGGGGTGGTCAACTGCACGTTCTTGCGCGCCTTCGTGGTCTTCTGGGCAGGGGTGGTCAACTGCTCGTCCGTGCGCACCTTCACGGCAGGGGTGGTCACTTGCGTGTCATCGGAGCCGCCCTTCATCCACGCGGCGAGCTCCTGGCCCGCGACAAACGAGAGAGAGGGCGGTCGGATGGGCGGCAGCGGCGGCACCGAGTGATGAGGTTGAGGAGGAGGGAGGTGAGGGGGAGGGGGGAGTAACAGGAGGGAAGGAGGACGAGGAAGAGCTGGACGATGAGGAGCAGGAGGAGGAGGAGCAGGAGGAGTAGAGAAGAGGGAGGATGATGAGGAGGAGAAGCAGGAGGCGGGGGTGGACCATGAGCCCTCCACCCTCGCTCCTCTCCTTCCCCTCCCCTCGATCATGCTCCCCGCCCTCACCCTCATCCTCCTCCTCCTCCTCCTCCTCCTCCTTCTCCTCATTCTCCTCCTCCTCCTCCTCCTCCTACTCCTCCTCCTCCTCCTCCTCTCCTCTCCTTCTGCTCATCCTCATCCTGCTCCTCCTGATCCCCCTCCTCCCCGCCCATTCACCCTCCCCCTCGCCTCCTTCCCCCCCTTCTTCCTCCTTCTATTCCTTCTCCTCCTACATCCTCGTCCTCACCCTCCCCTTCCCTCCCAATCATTCTCCTCCCTCTCCTCCTCCGATCGCAAGGAATGTATCATGTACGCCTAATCGAGGACCGCGGTGATGAGCCACCGCAAACAAGACGCATGCTCCACCGACGGCGACGGTGACACTGATGACGATGTGGGTGATGTTCACCTCGGCTACCCCAAACAGCCACTCTGCTCAAGCGATGCACCCTTCCTCGCAGGCACGCGAGAGTCTGAACGGAACGCGTGACCCACACCTGGTTTGCATTGTACAAATCTACAATGCAGGCGGTGGCAATGCCATCGCTGCAGAGGCAAACAAGCTACCTAGCCCTGAATCTTGAGCCAACGAGCGAACTCCACCATCTCAGTCTCGGGAATTGAGTCGTCGGGCGCGCCGCCACCAATCAACGAGTCCTCGGAGCTGGAGGTTTCACCAGGGACCGCAGGCGCCGCGGGAACAAGTACTGCAACTTCTGGCATGAGCACTTTCTCGTCGTCCATTGAAACGTCCACGATCTGCATGGGCGTCAAGGTCGACATGTGCTCGCGCACAGGCAGGGAGGGGATGCCAATGAATGGGAAATCATACCCCCTCGGTCTGAGCCCCCCATCGGTTACCCCTCCCGCCCTCTCTTCCAACCTCATCCCGCGACCATCCATTAGCATCCGCTCCCCACCCCATGCTTGACCCACAATCGACTCTTAACGCGCTACCTTGGGCAGAGGCGTGTCCTGCTCGGTGATCGGCGTGGGCGTGTACAACGGCGAACACATCTCCGCGGGGCTCTTCGACATGAGCCGTGGCCTCTTCGTCGGCGGTGGCGAGAAGTACTCGGCGTCGGCGGAGTCCTCAACGAGCCCAGCAGGTTCCTCGGCGAGCCCAGCAGGTTCCTCCGCGAGCCCAGCAAGTTCATCAGACGCCTGGGTAGACGCATCTGCAACAACGGGCTTGGCAGTCGGCGAAGGCCCAATGGGCGCGGGTTCTTCTGCGCCGTCGGCCGCCGACTCTGTCGGGCTCGCAGGCGCAGCGGGTTGCGCAGCGGACTGAATCTCGACGGGGCTCGGAGGCGCACCAAGTTGGGTAGCCGTCTCTTCCTCGACGAGGCTCCAAGACGGGGCTCTTCGGCTGTGTACCTGCTCAATCGGCGTCGGTGCGGGCGGGGATGTCCACCCGCAAGCTGGCTGGGCGCGCCAACCGCGCGGGGTCGCCAAAGTCGCGGGATAACGCCGCTCGTCGGGGATGGCCTTTGGGACAGTGGTCGCCTTCCTCCAGGCCATGGTCACGCGTCGCAAAGCTTCTAGGCACGTACAGCTGGAAGCCACAACCTATTGGAACCAAACGGCAGCTGTCGATCGACGGGCGGTCAAGCTGATGGCGATGGCTATGGCGATGCTAAGCGAGGGTGCCGATCGGATGGTGATGGTGTTTGCTGCTTCCATTTGAGATTTGGAAGGAAAGGTGGTCTAGGGTGTAAGGGGAAGGGGGCTGCACACGGAATGCGTAGATACTTTGGTGACATTCGGTTATCTTACATATCAGAGCGAGGGTGTGGCCGATGATAGAGATTGTCACAGAGGATGGGATGAAGGACCTTGGTTTGAACTAGAGGAAACTCATGGGGGCCGAGGAGAGTGGCATCGAGCCCACGAAGGCCCATGCGGATCCATGAGGGAGCCTCCGCTAGTTTCTGGACTCCATCAGGGACAGAGGAGAGCAGCAGTCATATTGACCAAGTGGACGTGGAGGGGACGAGGCTCGGGAGGAGGAGGAGGAGGAGAAGAGGGTGAATAAAGGGATGAGGGGTGAGGGGGAGATGAGGTGGAGGAGAGGGGCGAGGAGGAGGACGAAGACGGGGCCAGGGGGAAGGGGTCGGGAGGTAGGGGGCGTGAGAAAGTAAGAATGACGAGTGGGAAGGTGGAGGGGTGATGAAGACGAACAATTGGAGGCGGACGACAGAGGACAGAGGACGACGGTGAGGAGGCGACGCGGCACGGGGCCGAGTCTCCTTCAGGATGTCGTCGTCACTCCCGTCGAAGTCGTCCTCCGTGCCGATGTCCTCGTCTTCCTGCTGGTTCTCGTCCTGCCCCTGGTCCATCAGCGCGCCGATGTCCTCGTCCTGCTCCTGGCGCTCCGAGTGCACGTGCTGCTCTGCGCCTCTCGCGGGCAGGGCGCGGGCGGGGGCTGCGTCTTCCTGCATCGCCCCCCAGACCCTATGATCTGGGAGCCGATGTAGGCGATGAATGTTTGGAGGAGCTCCAAACATTCGTCCTCTTGCTCTTCCTGATGATGAGGAGGAGGAGGAGGAGGAGGAGGAGGAGGAGGAGGAATGCGTAGAGGAGGAAGGGGGAGGAGTAAGATGACGAGGGTGGGGATACGAGGACGAGAGCGGGGACATACCGTGCCCCTGTGCTGTGGACCACCCCTTTACACATTCGCGCCTTCGGGGCTGACCATGGCGGAGGACGGGAAGTACCGAGAGCCTGTCGAACTCCCGCTGGAACTTCTCACGCATGGCGTCCTCAGCGGGCTTGCGCGGGGGGGCGAATTGCACCGCATCCCCATCGATGAGGATGCGGTGCAAGGAGATACGAGGTAGGATCCCACCTCGTATCTGCTTCTCCTCCTCCTCCTGTTATTCCTCTGTGCTCCTCTCCTCCCCTACCGTCCTTCTCCGTCTTCTCCTCATTCTCCTTCTCCTGCTCCTCTTGCTCTTCCTGCTCCTGCTCCTCCTTCTCCTCCTCCCCCTCCTCCTCCACCTCCGCCTCCTCCCCCTCCTCCTTCTCCTCCTCCCCCTCCTCCTCCTCCTCCTCCTCCTCCTCCTCCTCCTCCTCCTCCTCCTCCTCTCCCCCCCTCCTCCTCATCCGCATCCTCCTCCCACGCCTCCTCAACCTTCACCTCCTCATCCTTCTCCTCATCCTTCTCCTCCTCATCCTTCTCCTCCTCATCCTTTTCCTCATCATTCTCCTCATCCTTCTCCTCATCCGTTCCGAAAGTCCTGGCAATGGGCGGCGCGGACGGCTCGGGCGCCACGCCCATCAAGTGGAGGTAGTAGGCGATCGCGTCCGCCTGGGCCTGGTTGCAAGCGCTGAGAGCCTCTCGGAATGGCAACCATACTGGCCCGACGCTGATCTGACGCCCGTCTGACGTCAGACTAACGTCAGACCAACGCCAGTCTGACGTCAGTCTGACGTCAGTCTGACGTCAGTCTGACGTCAGTCTGACGTCAGTCTGACGTCGGTCTGACGTCAGTCTGACGTCGGTCTGACGTCAGACCGACGTCAGATTTCGGTCTGGCGTCAGACCGACGTCAGATTGACGTCAGACCAGCGTCAGGTGTCTGACGATCGTCTGACGTCAGACCGACGTCAGACCGACAACCCTCCTCCTCCCCTCCGCCTTCCTCCTGCCCCTTCCGCGCCTCCTCTTGCTCAGCCTCCTCCTCTTGATCATGCTTCTCCTCCTCCCTCTCATCGTCTAGGTCCAACTCTCCGAGCCTTCCTCCTCCTCCTCCTCCTCATCCTCCTCCTCCTCCTACATGCTGGTCATCATCCTCATTCCATTGGCGTCTGCCTGGTCCTGATCCTCACCCTCTGCCCCCTCGCCACCCTCCATCCCTTTGACCCGAATGCCTGACGCCGCCTCGCGGGCGAGTCTCGCACGCGCCTGAGGTGTTTCAGGACGCACGCGAGTTTGTCCGCGAGGCTCGCTCCGCGAGCCTCGGGACTGCCCGCTGGCTCCGATGACGACCTCGGATGCCTGTCGGGCGCGGGGCGGGCAGCAGGAGGAGGATGAGGAGGTGGGGGGGAGGAGGAGGAGGAGGAGGAGGAGGAGGAGGAGGAGGAGGAGGAGGACGAGGAGGGGGAGGAGGACGGAGGAGGAGGAGGAGGAAGGAGGAGGATGAAGAGGAGGAGGAGGAGGCAGGAGGGGGGAGGGGGAAGGGGAGGAGGAGGGCTCCTCCTCCTCCTCCGCCCCCCTCCCCCTCCTCCTCCCTCCACCGCTCCGTTAGGCCCCATCATCTTCATCATCAGCATCATCAGTATCATCGCCATCATCAGCAACACCAACATCTTCAGCATCATCAGCATCATGATCATCCCCCCCCTATCCTGCTGCTCATTCCCTGTGTTCCTCCATGCCCTCCTCCTCCCCTCCCCGTACTTTCTCTCTTCCTCCTCCTCCTCCTCCTCCTCCTCCTGCCTCTCCTCCTCCTCCTCCTCCTCCTCTTCCTTGTCTTCTTCCTTGGTGGAGCCTGTGAAGCACACAGATGCAGGCGTCGCGCAGCACCGCCCAGCGCACCTCGACCTCGGGGATGCTGCGCAGGAGGCACTCAACCTTGCTAGGAGGGGGGTAATTTTCGACGGTGGGGGGTGGCTAAATGGTGTGCGGTCTGACGTCAATCTGACGTCGGTCTGACGTCAGTCTGACGTCAGACTGACGTCAGACCGACGTCAGACCGACGTCAGACTGGTGCGACCACCCACTCCCAAAGAATCACCCTGCTTTTCACCCGCAACCAGGGGCACGTTTTTCGCCAAGCTTGGTGCATGTACGGCTTTATCTTTTGTTAAAAAGCCGTAATGCCCAAGCTCGAAGGCGCCCTTGCATCCTTGGGCCTCGACATGGTCCAGGAGCGCCTTCTCGAGGCTCTCCTGGCCCAAGGGCGCCACGGGCACCCTGAGAGGGGGAGGGGTCCTCACCCGCGTGGACATCTCGAACCAAATGCTAAGGGGCGGAGCGTGGTCAAGGGGGGTGGGGGATGGGAATGGTCGAACGGGCAGCGGGGTGAGAGGAGACGAACGATGGGAAGGAAGGGAATGATGGAGGTAGGAGGTGGATGAGGAGGAGGAGGAGGAGGAGGGGGAAGAGGAGGAGGAGGAGGAGGAGGAAACCGAGGGAGGCAGGATGAGGATTCGAGGAGGGTAGGAGGAGCAGGATGGAGGAGAAGGAGGGTATATTTTAGGTGACTGAGCGATACCTGGCTGACGTCATGTCCTGGTTCCTCGGCTTGAGAGGGGGACGGAGGATAGAGGAAGAGATAGATAGAGATGACTACATTTGAAATTGGATCCAGGGTAGGGCAGAGAGGAAGGGAGCAAGAAGAGGAGGATAATGAGGGAGGGAAGAGGATAACTTATGATGATATGGGCAAGGAGGGAAGGTGGAGGGTCAGTCAGGAGAAGAAGCAGGGGGAGGGAGGAGGAGGAGTCATGGAGTCATGGAGGAGGGGTCGGGAGGAGTTAGGGTAAACTATGACAGGTTTTTTTTTTGTGGCGCGCGACCTGGCTCAAAGGCCCGTGAAGCGCGGCAGCGGGACCAACGGGGCGTTCCGCGCATCCGAGGGGAGCAGGATACCGTCCTGGACGAGGTAGGAGTACCAGCAGAACCTCTGGGATTACATAGGACGCATTGCGTTTTCATGGAAAGGGGGAGCAAGAAGGAGGCCCGAACGGGGAACCCGACTGGCCACGGCCCCATTGGCGTCCTGAAGACCATCACGATGGCGCTGGGGTCGTCCCTGCCCATCGTGCGCCTGGGGTGCCAGGTCAGTATGAACCACACCTCGGGCATCTCGTTGAAGGGCACGAAGTGCCAGAACGGAGGGCAGACCTCGGGCTGGGGCAGCTCGAGCCTGTGGGGCGCCCATGGCGGAAGCGGAGAGCGACCGCACGGGGGAAGCGCGGGTGGCGGTGGGGGAGCCCTACGCTCCCCACCGACGAGCTCGACTCCGAGCACGTCCGTCCCCTCGAGCTCAAGTCCGACAATCGGATTGAGCTCTCCAGGACGGTCTATGTCCAGACCGTCGGGGGGGTCGACGGCGCGGTTCGCCACCACCTGTGGTGGCGGACCGTCCGCCGACCAGTCCACCTGG